GTTAGAAAATAGAAAAACATCTCCAATCAACCTTGGTGTCAGTGGAAGAAATTAGTCATGTCTGAGCTCCTAACCCCTGAAACACATCAACTACTCTCAGTCCTTTCCAAAAATATGTTCCCTTTTAGCACGAGTGCAGGATGTAGCCTCCATGAAACAGAGCTGGGACAACCTGTGCAGAGCCTCAGATGGCAGCTCCTTGAGACTCAAGCAGGTAGAGCAGAGGAAACAAAGAAATCAGAGAGGGACAGATGGCCTGGAAAGAGCTGATAGCTAGCTAACCCAGCAGATTCATTTGATCAAATAAGAAAAGCTGCACAACAGATTTAAGCGTTTTAATGCCACAGCCCAATTCTGGAAACCCTCCATCTGTCCTCTACTAAAAACTTATTGTGAAAGTGACGGGAGAAAAGAAGTAGATGAATATAGAAGAGAGAAATAAGATGTGGTTAAAATATCTGTCACAGTTCTAAGGAGGATGACCAGCTAGGACATGAAGGCAAGAAAACAAAGCTTTAATAACTAATCTGGCATGAATACAGGAAAATAGGTCGACACAGGTACAGTCTGTGCACAGGCAAAATGGGAAACCTGGGAAATGTTACCAATCAGAAGTCCAGAGAATGAAGTTCATATCATTAAGGAATCCAGCAGGGAAGACATAGAGTCAGAATCCAATGGAGAAAATAAGGCAAAACTGGAACAAATGCTGAAATGTGATGAGAGACAAGTTCATTGACAACAATCTGCCAATCAATAAATGTGGAGAGTTGGTTTTCGTGCTTACTGGTGGGTTACAGATGGAATACAGGTGAGTGTGAATGAAGTTGGGTGGATCAGGTAGCAAGCCTGGGAAAACTAGGTCAAGGACAGGGGCTAAGGTAGAATGCCAAATGGAAAACACTAGGTGGAGACAGGAGAAAGGCTTAGTTCATGACAATATCACCAATTCACTGGTTGTAGTTATACAGAGTAGGAATAAAACTGGCACACCCACATGCAGTTATAGAATTTCTATCCCATCAAGGCTAATTCACACTTAAATCACACAAATTAATACTGCAGTTCTGACATGGTCATAAAATAAAACTTTCTGTGCCAGGTCTTATTTAAATGAAATGTTTATCTTTACATATAATCATTTATCCCACTCAAACCCCCTTGAGTGAATGCTAAGAGTGGATCTTTATATTTTATGTCTCTGTAGTGTCAAAAGATACAAAAACTGAGTGAAAAGTAGTCTGAAAAGTCTTTTCTCCTGCAGTACAGGAACCTGCTCTGACTCTGAAGCTATTCACCATAATAACCTTATTTAAAACATGAGAGTCTCAGACAAAAATCCACATTTTTCTAACTTACATCTGATAGTTTGAGCTCTGATCATACACCCTGCACATATTTTATTAATAATTACTAAGTACTAAATTACAACATCTTTTTGAAAAGACTTTTGGTGTTTATTAGACTATTAGTTTATCACTGTGCTGAAAGTTGGAGTTATATCAACCTCCTAATATTTGTGCAATTATTCTGAAAAGAAATTGTAATGTGGCCAGAGTGACCAGATGGGGCAATGGATTATATACTGTAAGCTGTAGCAGAGGGGTTGAACAGTCAGGCTGAGGGCAATAAATTCCCCTGATACATTTTTCATCCTGCAAGCTGCCAGACTGCTGAAAATGTATTGACTAAATTCAGCAGAGGTCTGATCTTGCTTATTTATTCCCCACCAATCTCTGTGATATTTATAAATGCTGGTGGTAATCATGGGGGCCTCTGAGTGCTGTAGATGACAGACACTGTCTGCCTAATTCAAAGGCAAGAAAGTAAGTGAAACATTTTAGAATCATCTACATGAATGTATACTTTTGTCTAAAACATGGTCAGTTACAAGTTACAACTATGAACAAATGCAATCTGTTTTTACTAATTACATACATATCATTGCATATTTCTCATTGAATGCATCATTAAAGCATTCACTATGTACGAAGGCATATATGTGAATATCTAGGTTAATGACATCAAAAAGAGCTCATTTGAGTCAACGCTTCGAAATCAGATGAAGCTTTGAGTGGCAGCTACTTTGTCTTTTAAAAAACACTCAAACATTTTGAGTTTACAATTCACAAGACTCATCTGCTGCTGTGAACCATGATTTTAGTTTAGGCTAGTGTTCCACACTAATCTCAAAAAGACCACTTGGTGCTGTGGTGACAGACATTGGCTGTTTTGCTGCCTCTGGGCCTGGACAGTTGTCATCATGGAGGGGGAAATGAATTCCCAAGTATATCAAGGTATCTTACAGGATGATGTCTTAGTGGTTGTCACTCAGCTGAACCTCAAGTTGAGTTATTCAAAAGGAAAATGACCATAAATATTGAAGTGAGTCTTCTACGAAGCTGTTCACACAAAACATCCTATGAATATGGTTAATCTGAAGCAACCCTGTAAGGAAGAATGATCCCAAACTCTTTCAGAACATTGTGCAGCTACAGTACCAGAAGCATTTATTTGAGATTATTGCTGCCAAAAAATGTTACCTTAAGTTTCATTTATCTTTTCCTCCAGCACAGCTGATGTGGTCAATAAAAAAAAAGGTTATAATTGTTTGTTTGTTAATAGCTTAAACACACTGTGTCTTAGATGTAGATCACATTTCATGATAAAATAATACAATAATATTAATATTACCGAAGGAACACTACACCAACATGAATATTTATAGTATAGTCACTGCATCTGTCCTTCAGACTTTTCCTCTCACTTAATTTCCCTCCTGCGCCCTTGCAAATTGCTGGTCTGCTTGCTCTAATGATGACTCCCTTCCATAATGGAGGCCAGGTGCCAAAACAAGAACATGCACTTCAACTCTAATGTCCCTCCTACAGCTCATCTGCTCTCAAGTGTAGAGCATAAGTATTTTCTCTGTGTTAATGTTTGGCACGGTAAGTGGCATCAAAACCCAAATGATCAAAGTGAATACTAAGAAAATCTCCAAAATCGATAGCTACAAATCAACAAACTCTTTAAAATCTGACCAGAGTAAATCATGGAGTATGAAACATTGAATCTCATAAAGGTGTTGTTTAAAATTACAGTTGCATTGCTGCAACACTAAAATTTTAATTCTGCATTTGTTCTGGGTGCATGTGTGTCTCCATGTGTTGAATAGGTCCTATCAAATGAATGCATTCCATTGTGCTACAGCACATTACTTAAAAAATGAAATACAAAATCAGTCAGGAGGTTATCGATTATAAATGGTTGAGCACTGAATATCATCCAAGTGTAAAACCACTCAAAATGTGAGGTAAAATCTTTGCTGCTTGCATAACACTTTCTGCACACGCTGCTATTCCACAAGTCAACTTTGTGATCTCCTTCATTCCTTTAAAACCTTGAGACCTGGATAGCCTCCAGGCAGAGGAGCTTCACACACTGCTGATGAGAAAGTATGACACATGCTTGACTTCAATTTCTATCTTTCCATCTTCAGTCAGTTTATCTTTTTGCCAGGAACAGAGACCGTGGCTTCTCATTCTCTTCAGCCTTGCCAAGCAGCTGTCTGCATAGTTTGCCATCAGATTGTTATCTGTTTAGCTGTAGGAGGGAGGGAAACAGTGGCCCCATCTGTTCACATGGTGGTGCTGCTGAAACACATGGCTTCTCCCAGTTTCTTATTTAGGCCTGGTAGATGTATGTCTATATGTTTTTCCTTTATAGCCTTGCAGTTTTTCCACCCTCCGAAGAAATGTTCTGCCAAATGCTCTGGAGGGGCTATGAAAGTTGAAAGCTTATATGTCAAATGTGGTGAAATGTCTACGTGCATGCACATGCACATGTGCAGGTGAGTGTGCCTGTGCTTATAAATGGTTCAAGATTTACTTGAGTTACCCAAAGGAAGCTTTCACAGAAAAACACACACTCAAACATATACTCTGTCAAGACTTATCTTAGCCCTCCAGAGACAGCAAGACAAAGCTCACACATTTTAAAGTCTCCAGTGGTAAATGAGGCGTTTGAGGAATTGCAAATACCAAGGAACGCACACACACACACACACACACACACACACACACACACACACACACACACACACACACCGACAGTTAATTTTTATAACCTTTTGTGAAGACTTACCAACCAAACATTCAACCTGAGACAGACCCTGTCACTTAGTGCCCCCTGTCCACCCACTGAGCCCAGCAATTTGCTGCCGATCTCCCTTAACCCACACAAAAACAGCAAACACTGTAACAGCTAAAATTATATTAGGGCACCTCAACGGATGAAGGAATGGATCCCTTTTCTGCTAAATTATTTGACTTTAAGAAATAGCACAGTTCTTATTAAGGTGGTTATTAATATTTTTAAATTAGCAGTGGGTCATATGGCATATGTACATAAATTAGATTGCTCATAGTGACAGAGATAATTGTCATTTCTTCTCAGCTCTTCTCTCTTTAGCAGCCAAAGAGTCACATTGTCACTTAGTGCCCCCGTCCACCCACTCAGCCCAGCAAACTACCAAAGTTACTATTTGGTAGTATTGTTATTGTTTGGTCTTGCATTGGAGCTACCTTGTGAGGCAAGACAAATTTCAGATTTTATTTGATAATAAAGTGTTATAGTATCATTTCATATTGTATCATATCATATCATATTTTTATGGACTGGTAGAGACCAAAACAGAGCTAAAAGGAAAGTAAATATCAAATGTGAATTTGTCATTGAGCCAGAAACACACCTCCCATTATATGCTAGTGTTGATCTGTATCTGCTGGATGTGTAAATAAGTAAATTTTTGCTTGTTCTATTAACTTTAAAAGGAATAAAATGTCAGTTTGATTTATGGCTTGTGTCACTGGCCCTCAAGTGGTCAAAAATATTTTAATCCAAGTTTAATGTAAAGTGTAATTTTGTATATAACCACTTTATCAAAAGTTGCATTTTGTAGTTAATAGGGGACAACATCACAGTGAGCCTTTAGCACTGACCTGAATCTCAATGCCGTATCCCAGGTAGACAGTAACCAAGTAGTTACACTCCACTCCAGAGTCAGGTTGCTGCAGGATTTCGATGTTACCCTCAGGGTCAGTGAAATTCAGACCGCATGGCTCTGTGGGAGACAGTAAAATGACAAGTGATTCCCTTTTCCCGGACCACTGATCTTTCTGACAGCCCACCTGTATCTCTGTGGCCCCGTAACCCTCTAACTATCTCTGCAGATTTCCTCTTTGACACCGCTCATCTGGGCCTTCAGCCCTCGGTGACCAGTGAGAAGGACAGGCAGGGCACATCAGGGAAAATCAGATTGTTTTGGACACATGAACAACTCTGTTATTCCTGCTTGAGAGATAAATTGCCCTATGCTGCATGCAAAATGAACAGCACTGGTTCCTGATGACCTAATGCTTAATTTTCTTGTCCTCTGAGATGGATGTGTTAAATCTTAGGGGGAAGAGACTAAATTTTAAATTTCCAGTGGAGGATGAGGGGTGGGGGTGGGAGTAATTTTGTTGCTGCTTCTACTTATTTCAATGTCATTTGAACATTCTACTTGGTACATCTTTGAAAGTCAGAGAGAACATGGACATGCCTACCTGATGACTGCATGATGGTGGTAGTTGTGATAACACTTGTGGACGTTATGGTGGTACCCTCTCCTTGGGGCACATCAGTTAGGTTGGGGAGAGGATGATCAAGGCTGGATTTGTATTTCAGTGGTGTTTCCTTAGCTTCCCCTTTCTCCATCCTCATTGAGGAGGGTGCAAGGGAGTCCTCTACGGGAAAAGCCCTCCAACTTTGAGCCTGACTTCTCTGCAAGGATGAAGAAGCCACTGGGTTGTGGTCACTGCTTGAATCTCTATTGTTTGGCATTGTGTGAGTGGTGAGGGAGTCTGTTGTTGGGTCTACCTTGTCTGTCTTCTCCTTAGAGGACTTCCTTAGAAGGAGAGACATTGGTGGCTTTGGTGTTGTGGGAGAGAATGTGGTCAGTGGGGAGGTGGCAGCAGCGGTAGCAGTAGAGGCAATGTCTGAGAAGGCTGGGGCATCTTTATGTGGTACCATTTGAGTGACAGGGTCTCCTGCATTTGAGGCAGATGCAGAGTCTGGCATGATGGGATATGCAGCCACAGAGCCATCCTTCCTAAAAAAATGTTGGTCCCCCTCAAAGTCCCTTATAAGCAGGTGCTCATGAAGCAGCAGGCCCTTAGGGACTGGTCGGTGGTTGGGCATGTTCATGGGTGAGACTGTGGTGACTAAGTGGACTTCACTCTCTGTGTCCTGTGTTGATGACTGGGTGAAGAGATTCCTGTCTGGATCCACTGTCTTCTTACTGATGCCATTGCTTTCCTTTGGACCTGAAAGTAAAGATAACGCAGCTGCTTTAAGCAAAATACTCAGGTCCAGTGAACTACAAGAGCAACATACAATACAGAGCAGTGCGTCTTTTTGACAGTTTCATTATAGAATCATCAACTGTGCCAGCCTATAATCCACCAAAATTATGCCTAATGAGGTGAGAGGCTGTCCTTTTGTATAATTCTTCCACACATATTATGCTGCTATTTTAATCAGTTCATTGTGCGTGAACGTGTGTGCGTTTGTACTGTACATGTGTGAGGCTGTGGGGAACAATGGCATAGTGTAATTTGTTATACAATCCATTATAGAAGGTTTAATAATAGCTAAACAGTCTGGTGGCTTGACATAAGTAGGTCAGTACAAATAATGTACAGTACACATGAAACTGTTTGATTATAATAGTAGCATCTTCTGCATTTTATATTTTAATGCATCTTCGGTGTTAATATCAGAAAATAAATATACATAGATTTGTTTTATTTATTTATTCAGTATCTGACTTTGCTATACATTTCACAAAGCTACCACTAAGGATGTCCTTTTAAGCCACGTGGATTAGTAATGACAGTGGTGAGAAGCAGCTTGCTAAAAGCCAGTTTATTATCAAAGAGAAATACCACAGTCACACCCTGTAGGCAGTGAAATCTCAGAGCAGAGAAGGACTGAATAGAAATGTTTTAGTTACTTGTAGGATAAAAGGTTTAAAAGGACATATTTTTCTAAGGCCTCCTTTTGTTGGCTTGTACTCTCATTCCCTCTTTTTTTAATCTCTCCAAGACGCGCAAACGTCACTGGAACACAGTGCAAGCATTACAGGTTCCACAGTAAGAGTGCTCAACCAGTGAATAGTCAGTAAACCACTCAAAAAGGAAATGTAAAAAATGCATACACTGTTATAATAACCCAAGTAAACAAAACCAGCATTCCAAATAGTGTTACAATAAATCATAATAGGTGAGAAATGTGCTTGCACTGCATAGGGAAGGTGTCACAGTTACATGTGTAAAAAAGGAATAAATACTAAATTACTTATTTTTCCTTTTTGCCAACACTCTCACTAGATACTTGTAAACATGAAACTTTTACATGGCATTTGACAGTAATTGCCAAAACAAAAGATATTCTTTCCATTTTGAAAATGTTACTGCTAATCCATTTAAAGATGTACTGATCTCCAACTTTAACAAAACATATAAACACAGTTAGTTTAGCATCAAACCTCAGAGAGGTTCATGCATTTGATATTTATTAATAACTTTCAAAAATAATAAAATTATGCCAACAATAGGAAACAAGCAACATAAATGTGACTAGCATAAACTGACTGGCAAAACCGAAGACAAAACTTGCTGTCAACTCACCTCTACGTCATTTCAAACATCAGCATATCATTTAAAAGCTCAGTCAGTTCATGCCATATGTTTATGTAGCCAAGCCACTGCCAAGAGTACCATATTCACCTGATTATCTGTTACAGCTTCCTCAGTAGTTTGGGGGAAAACCACAGTACAAATCCCTAAATGCTCTAGCCAATGTAAACATCAGCAAACATGAACTTCTTTGCACATCCCCAGTGGCTTTGACAGGACAGTTATAGCAAATGATCAAATGCTCTCCAGCTGTCTGCTCGTTAGCCTAGCCATGCTCAGATCACAACAACAAAGACTACGTGGGAAAGAATTTCTTTAGATTTTGCAATTTTAGGGCTGACTTGCTGTTTTAAGGTGTGCGTTGGCAGGATTTCTTTCTGCCTTTAAGACAGAAGTGGAAATGAAATGGATTTGTCTAGGCATTGCTGGACAAAAAACATCTACTGTATGGCAATCACCATCCTTTTAGCAGACAATTCTTGCTTTCTTGTTAGCATCAATGCAATGCAATCCACATCTTTCTTTTTTGCACCTAATTTCAAGCACTGTTTCACCTTCTTCCAGCATTTCCCTGTTCATCTTTACTCAGTGCAGCTGTATACTCTACAGCTAATATGCAGACCTAAAGTGTGGCAATATTAACATAAAACAATCCCATGTGTCTCAAAGTATGGCCTAAATAATAGTTAAGATAAATACTGAAGAAAAAAACAGTTTACATAATCCTCTTATGTGTCTATGTACATGTCTACATGAAACAATGCCGTCTGCTTTGACACCTTAATTAGCCTGCTTTCTGGGTGACAGTTTGTCTTAATGAGGTAGAAAAGCTGCCAGCACGCTTTTCATGCTTATAGATGAAAGGATGTTGTTGACACAGGCTGCAAATAAGTGAGATATCGTCATGGTGAGTGTTTCTGTTAGCTACAGTGTTCCAAGAGAAAATAAGAAGCCTCAGCTAGAGGTCAAGACAGATGTAAGATTTATTCAAAAATGGTCTTTGGAGATTGATGATGCAATGGCTAGAGGCTGAGTAAAATACAGTAGCATGTCATGACATCTCAAATGGTTTTCAAAGCAAATTTGTGAGACATTTCTTTTTAAACATCCTTCCCCGTGCCTGAATGGTATCAAACATCTTCTGGTTGACAGTTCATGGTGAAGTTCATGGCCATTCAGTCTATTGTCTATACCTGTTTAATCCCCCTGATTAAATTTTAGAGCTTACGTGTTCCACAATTGACTGGATTGTTTTGACTGTAGTGATTACAAGCAGTTGCTTTTCCTGCATATGAAAGAGATGCTTAAATCTGCCTGCCAGGAGGCAAACATTCAAATGTTTCAGAAAACTCACTTTGTCTTTATCGACTCTATAAGGATTTCCATAGCAGGAAACAAACATTTATGTATAAAGTGAGAAACGGTGTATAAATAAATGTGAAAATTAGCTGTAACACAGAAGAAGCTCTGCTTTGCTCGTAAAACTTCAGGAGTACTTGCAAGCCAATGTAACACTTTGCCTGTGCAGAGTGGTTTTACTACCACCCAGCACACTAATAATAGTTTGATCAGGCTATTCAGGAGGAAGAATAAACAATTTTGTTACAAAGCCGGTCCCAGGCCGATGGAACTGACACATGGTTTTACATTTTAGTGGCAGCCAGGACAGCGACACATTAATCTTTCTTGGTGAAAGAAACATTTCAAAGACCTTTTGATGTTCTAAGATGGACGGGCAACATTTCCTTGTAGCCTTATTCTGTCACAACAAGAGCAGCCACAGCTGTGCTATAAAGGCAAACTACAGTAAGCAAATATGACATGCCTCACTACCAAAGAGAGTAAAGTGTAGGTGTAAAAGGAGATCTTTGTAAATGATTTAAGTATTTAAAGCTGCCCCCTCCTAGTAATTGCCAAGTATAGAGGAGTCTCAAACCCACACATAAAGTTGGGGAATTATCCCTTTGTCAAAGTTATTGTTATTGGGAACTTACCCCTGTCTCTTATTTTCTTATCTTTATTGCCCTCTATGTCTCTGTTGGTCAAGCTTCTGACCACCAAGTTGCTGCCCTTCAGTCAGAATATTGAGTGAGTGTGGAGAGGGAAAATGAAGAACTGGGTTAAACCTGAGTTTCTCACACACAGATCAATACAGGATCAATGTGTACAGGTTGGAGACCTCACTGTGGTGATTACAGAGGAGCAAGTACTGCTACCATACTGTTCTCCTCTCTGAACCTTAATTGGGTGTTTATAGTTGAAGTTTCAGACAATGGAGCTGAAAACTGGGTTTTAAATGTCATTTGCTGAGTATGAGTACAGTGTAAATCAATAAATACAGAACAGGGATAACAAAGTAGAGTCTCTTCCTATGAGTCAAGTCACATTGGTTGTAAATGTAAAAATATATATTAGATATACATCATTCATGCATGTGAAGGCTAATAGCAAATGTTGTTAATCGTTTATAAAATATAGGTTCTTGCCTAACAACCCCCAGTGGAATGTGGTTGTGCAGGCCCAGTGCCTCCCTGTACCAGAAACAAGACCCGCATTAGCTCATCACTGTTTATATCTGGACAATATGTTACCTGAACAACTGATGATGCATAATAAAATTGTTTATTGATGAATGGCTGTGACTGTACTGGCTCAAAATCCATTTTTATGCCAGGTTTGTTTTGTTTATTGACTTACAGTAGGCTATAGTAAACGTGTACACTCACCACAAGTCTTTGGTGACACATAAGCACTGCTACCAATTCATTCCTTCAGTGTATAGTTCAAAAATGGATTCTGTCCTGCTCTGATTTTGAATTGTGGTTATTCCAAGAAGCTAATTAGACAGATCCAAACGATCTTTTGTTAAAGGGTTTGACAGCCTGTGTTCTCAAGCATTTCCCCAGGGACAAACAGGCACACCTACAGTGTATAGTACAGGAAGAGAGGCTTTTGCTGAACAGCCATTGTTATGTAACATAAAAAGTTTATTTGAATATTTGTGCAGTGACATGATTTAAATGTAACACAAATCTTGAAGCTATGATTTGTTATTCTACCTTGACTGTTCTCACCTGTTTCCATAGATAGTTAGAAAATCACACCCTACTGGCAGCCAATTTAAATTGACTGTGCTTGAAGGATTCCAATCAGGAATAAATGTACTGTAATATACTAGTATAACCAGTGTACTGTCGGTGAGCTTTATTGGTCTGTCAGGTTCACAGAATAGGTGTCATGTTATCACATTTAACCCTTCACACACTAGCAAGGTGCATCAAAACCCAAGCAATAAAAAAATTAGAAGATGTCAGATGTTAACCTTTGTGAAAGTATTGTACTGTACTGTACTGGTCATAGGCTAAAAGTGGATACCATGATGCAGAGTCAAGGGGTTATGGGTGTAACTGCATTACACTACACAACACCGTAGCTGGGTAATTGGACCTAATTCATAAATTATAGGTGGTAATTACCATGACACAATGAAACTGCTCTTATCCTTTTGTGAGCCGTGGTGCAAATGCTATAACACACCATTTACTGTCCTTGGGGAAATTTAGTTAGGGAAATGCTTCTTCTGCGAGCACATTCAGTAGAACACATTTAGGACATGTGAGCCTCTC